CGTAAAAAACTGAGTGCTCATTATTCATCAAATATATGAATATGAAACCGATGAGGCTAGCTACCCGTTGGCGTCGATGATCGGAATCTCTGTGCCATGACCATCGTGCACGACGCAGTTGTGGACAAGCATCCCCATCGTATCGCTTTCGCATTCCCATACGTGCCATACCTGGTCGCCGACCTTCGCGTAGCGCACCGCCGCTCCGGTGGGACTGTCCAAGTGCAGGGAGTAGAAGCAGGTGGGGAGTGTCGGGCCGACTTGAATCGGATTCGGACGAAGCGAGCTAAAAGCACTCATCAGTCAGCAAGTGTAATTAAGGTCAAACATCCTACCGGTAACGACTGAATCATTGACAAAAAGATGCTGACAGTTGAGATGATAGATATGATATGATATAGTCAGATAAATGGTGAACGAACGACGGGGATGTGCGAAATGTTTATTGTTTGGCATAACTTTCACAAAGTTATTATTTTCCATGTTAAGAGACCTGTGGCAGAAAGCAGCCATCTACTGTCACAATCAAGTGAAACCGGAAGAGGGCGAGGTTATTTTTAACTTAGACATTAATAAGACAATTATGACCACGGTGTGGATCTTCAGATGGAAGAACGACGATATTAGCTGCTGGTGATTTTTCTTTTTGAGTTGCCCTGCTGAATACAAGCATGTACTGCATCTGTCGATATGCTTCTGCGAAATGGCAAAATTTAACACTGCGTCAATCCGTAAAGAGTAGACAACGACCAAATTGCGAACGGTATGGATAAATGTGTTCTTTTCTACTACTGCAGGATCAAATGGTAATTAAACATAATGATGGGCAAATGAGTCATCGAAAATCAGATTTTAGGGTACTCCTGATTGCTGAAGGGGACAGTTGGGCAACTCATGAATCAATAATATTCTGCAGTAATAATGACCAGATGCATCACAGTATTCACTGGAGCAATCTGATGTTCGTCCCGAGCGATATTCGTTGTATGTTGCCACATACACGTCACGCTGTGTTTGATAGCATACTGGCACTGGATGAGATTTTCCAAATATGAATTCATATTTACGATGGTTATGCGATAGTACGGAGTACCAGCTCCTGGAACATCGCATATGGTGAGCAACAGACACGCCATAAACAACAAAACGATGAGAGTAACGTCGTTTGCATTGCAGGTATTCAGACAGCACCACGGAACCATGGATTGTTTCAATGGATAACAAGAGGCAATAGAATACGCCGGCAAATCCAATTTTGGAACAGAAATTTAGTCGTTGGCTCACTCAAATATGCGAATTCAGATTTCCATGCTTATTCGAACGTTGATTCTTTCCATCCGGAGAAAAGGAGTAGCTAGCCACCAACTTTACCAGCATCATCTCGCATGCGTATTTTAAAGCTGGAGTACCTTTTATTTCCTGTACAGTCTGTACAGTTAGTGGCACTCACTGATAACGCACTGTACAAACTTGGGAAAGCACCCGAGAAAAAAGAGGAAATTTACGGCCATGTAAGACTGTTGAGGTAATGGATGAGTTTTCAGAGGCAAATGCTTACATGGAGCAAACTTGCCGTGTCTTCATTCATTCATTCAATTAAAACTTCGGTCGATGATACATGTGTGCATCTAACCTTGGCGTTACCCCTTATGGAGTGGGAAGAAGGACTATGACCAAATTTCTGGATCGTCAGATAAAAAATTCTCTGAAGCAAATATTTCCAAACGTCTGCAATAATCGCCTTGAACTTTCATGAACCCTGAGATAATTGTCTAGCGAGGATTTAATAACCGTCGCAAACGGACATTTAACGTACGTTGTTTCTTGTGTAGGATTTGCTTAATGGCTTTCAGATCATTCTACCGATTCATTACAGTTGTATGTGGTACCGTACCTCAAGCGCTTCAATTTCCACTTTTCTTCCTTTTCACTGTGTGCAGTAGAATAACTTAGAGATTTGAGTTATGTTAACATAGTTACATGAATAACTAATGTTCAGGTCGGTGGAGGCGCTGAGGCTACGACTTTTCTATAAGCAGGCTGTTCTTCTCCCTGAGAGCTGTCGCTCTTCTTAGACGTTGATGAATCTATTTTTTGGACGCCATTAACCTCAAAGATGGATGGAGCTATTCTACTAAAAGGAGGTGACCTACAGAAATGACACAACGTACATGAAACGTCAATCGAGTAACCTCTTGCTACTGCCATCACTTTATTCTTCAGACTGAATTAGAGGCCAAAAAATGACTTTCAATTGCTGACATCTGACATTCTCTACCAGCAAATGCAATGGCGCTGAAGATTCTGTGATTAGTATTACTTCGAGGTTATTGTGATCGATCTTTCCAATCGTAAGAATTCTGGTGAAGCAATTTCATGCTGACTGCATTTCTTTAGGATTCGCCAAGGAAAGCAGCTAAATAATGTGAGCAATAGAAGTAGTCTTTAAGAGCCCTGTTGCTGAGGAAGAATCGGACAGATAGAAGGTCAAATACGCATACTGAAGTATGTTAACAAGCGTGCAGTTATCATGACAGTTGGGTCTTGCGCGACTGAAATTTCATGTGCAGCATGACCTCCAAAGGTTTTTGGTGACTCGCTTAAAAGTCTTGCTGTAGTCAGTGAGGCAAGAAATGACGTTTCCTTGACTTGCATGAACCTTCGTGTCTATGTGGCGCAGAATTGTGCTTGATCCTCTGCAACCTAGCTTTCGATTTTGCCATTTTCGGCATTTTATTCCTAATTGTATATAGCGGTAGACCTCAGCAGCAGAGAAGGCAAGCAAAAACTTCACCTTCCTTCTAAACCTGGAAGAATCTGGCGCAGAAGAGTCGGGAACTCGATTTTCTATTATGTGTTTCTTCCACTGAATTAAGTAAGGTTCTTATTAGCATAATTTCTGATAAAAACTACGTTTTGAATGATTCGTTATATGGTTATACAGTAATGTCAATGATTCGAAAGTTGTATCCTTCGATGACACTTGAAGAGGCATATTAAAGCTCACAGAAATCATGCGAGTACGAAGGTCATAGGATGATGACTCACCTAACTTCCAGATTGGATGTGATCATGGCATCGGTCTCTGAGAAGAAGCAGTTGATGTCGTACGCACGATCGACCGCCGTCACAAACCACGGATGCAGTTGTACGACGATCACTGCCTTGTACAGCAGGCCTCTCGGTTGGAGCTGCAAGACGGAAAGTTTGAAGTCCGATGCCAATGTGCTTTTGTGTTACCTGTCGTTCACGGGTCAGGCCGCATTCCCCAACATGGAAAACCGCCTCGTTTGACTTGTTGAAACTGCATCGCACATCGTCAGCGTGTTTTCTGACAAATATTCGACTCGGTTCGAATTTCGTCGTGTTAATTCTGATGGATATGAAGTTTTGTTCGCATTCCACATGTGGCATTCCTAAAATCAATAGAGTAAAAGTTTACACTATCTTCTTCTTGATTTACACTTGGACTTTCTCTTTACATAACTTCAAAATTGCTCTAGAAAAAATTTTTTATGTACTGTTAATATGCATTTGGATATGCGTCATTGCAGTCGGCAACGAGCAATATATGCAATGACATGCCAAGAACAAATAAGTGAGCATACCGTTTGCTACTGCAGAAATCAGGAAGTGGTCCGTCAATGATACAGTCAGTAACACTACATAGATTGTAGTTTTAAGCAAACGAACAGTTGATATAAGGAGTGGAGACCTTGAGGGTAAAAATATATCGTAAGACTTTAAGGGTAACAGCGAACGTTATGTAATAATTTCATCTATTCATTGTCAATGACTACCATATAGCATTGATTTGTAATGAAGCTCATAAGTAAACTTGCTGGTCTGGTCGACTAATTTAATATAGTAGTGGACAACCTACAGAAGGTTAGGAGATACCAGCTGTATTAATTCCCATTCGAGGCAATTATTTCATCATTGCATCTACTCTCTCAACGTTGTATTGCAAGTCAGTAGTAAGAGGAATGAAATCTAGTCGAAACTGGCATCCTCTTCATGCTACTTGCTGCCTGAGAAATCTGGCGCTTAAAGACTGTCTAAACTTATGCATCATATTTTTACCCGCGAACGGAGAAAAGCATTTTCGGCTGTCAATAATAATAAAGCCCTGACAGGTCTTTTGTGCTCATTGAGATAAATGAATACTGCTTCTATTTGTATGCGTGTATTATACATCTTCATGTACATGATCGGATTCCTTAGTCTCTGGACTATGAATGGAAGGTTACGGTAACCTCCTCTATTACCATATGCCTTCTGATAGCCATACGAGTGAATGAACAAAATGAGGAAGACCTAAAAAATGAACAATTGTATACTCTTTCAGAAGACCGTGTTTTTGTAGTGAGGGTACACAAGCTCTGAGGTGCTTTCAATTCTTTCAAAAGTAAGTATCGCTTGGACCGTGGCAAAATTGGTCATTAAACAAGTGCGCAGGATTCTAGTTTAGAGATGAGATCAGGGTACCATAAGGACTTACAAGATGGAATATGGAATCTTAGCAATGACTACCAGACAAGCGACCAAAGATTGCTTTATACACCGAACACGTGGCGCAATGGCGTCTTGGATTTCAGTCTATAAATTTTGCCAAGCCATCGTAGAACGAAGATTGTCGATACAAATCCCTTTTCCTTGAAGGGATAGCGAGTCCTAGAAAATTATGAACGTATGCACTGCAAGTCAGCCATGTTACTTGAAATGTTTGATATTGTGTAATTGCTCGTACCCTGAAGTATGTCAGATAATGGATGACTGTCACTCTCGACGACCTCTGTACCTCCCCGAAAACAAGGTCAAAGGTATGGTTGGCAAGAAATTGCCAAGAGGATATCACCGGCAGAAACGAAAATTCCATCTAACTTTGCTCTCATGCAACTGCAAGTCCCTCCTCCCAAAAACTAATGAACTCAGCCATTCTAAGCCTGCCAATGTACCGTAATGCATGCGCATTGGTGAAGATATTACCCTCGTCGTAGTCATCAATAATTGGCTGCATTCGGCTGGATAGACCATTGGTAAAGAAGGTACATGGCGGTGGTGTTGCAACCTGGATAACCTGGGTAACAGAGCATGGACGGCAAATTTGTCAGTATCGTTTTCTTTTTGACAAAAGATTTTCAGTGCCTCATTTTGACATTCTTTCCATGGTATCTACTGGTACTTTGCAGTGTGATGATAAGCAATATCTACATCTCAAAGCTACAGTTGTCATATTTATGGATCATCGGCTTATCAAAATTTCCCCCGTAACAAACAGCAGTCTGTCTATACTAAAGGGGAATGTGAACCAGCATGACCTCGGTGCTCTGGCTGACCTCGGCCTCAAAGACGTGGTCAGTTTCGCCGCGCGCTTGATGGCCAAACTGGACCGTGCGATGGTCAATGAAACAGCATGCCTTGACGTTCGACGTTCAGTGCCTCTGGGGTCATCAGAACATTGTTCCATCAGATTAATATCAAAAACGTGTGCCATGCCATCTTATAAATCAAAATCATATCTGTCGGTCTATCATGCGGACCGCACACTTGAACACAAAGGGTTGCAGAAAGAAGTCACCAGCCAAATCAGCGTTTGAACAGGAAATTTTCTGGATCAGTGCAGAACTCGCGAACAAACCAAGAAAAATCGAACACCGTCAGCCAATTGCACATCACAGAGTTTCGATCCAAACGGTTTAAGCAGTTTCTTCCCACGTTTCCAAACGGCAGTTGAAGTTAGGAAAATTACCCAAAATATGGCAGCAGATGCCTCAGAAGAAATCACCTCATTAAATCATATAGTCCAGAAATGCTTGCGAGAAATCAAATCCGCTAAAGCTGCTGGTCCAAACAGCCTCCCGCTGATCCTACTGAAGCTGGGGATCCACGAGCTACCGAGCCTCTTCACTGAAATTCCCAATCGCTGTATTAACCACTGCTTTCTTTAAAGCGTATGGCAAACAGTGCGGGTCACTCCCGTGCCGAAACACACGACTTCTAGACAGATGGAAATCTCTAGACCAATCTGGCGTATTCGAATGTATTCAAATGGAAGG